TATATTCGCAAATATCGCCGCGGGCGCTTATAAAGCGGGGGGCTTATTACGTCGAATACGGTATTATCATTTCATATTGATTCAACTGATGTGAAAGCTGAGCAGGCCCTTTATATTATCTTTTGTGTATGTATATAAACTTGATTTGAACATATCTACAGTATAAGTGCATGGGTTTGAGCTCTACAAGCAAGACTTGTAACATTTAAACAACACTACAGGGATTATACTCTGAACAGTATCATGTTTGCGTCTTTCAGAGTGGTAAAATATATTTTGCGATGATATATATATATCTATAAACAATCTCAGAACTATCAGTCTGATGACCTTTGCTGACAGCAACTATGACACTCATAGGACGAGTTAGAGTCCACATTATCTAAAGTATCCATTGCAAGGGCACAGAGCAGTAAATGTTAATCACAGTGCATTTGTAAATAAAATATGAATATAAAATATCCTTTTTTATCATTATTTAGTTTTAAAATAAGGCTCATTTACAATTAAATTTACGATATAGATACTAGTAAACTATAGTCTATTAAATAAACTATAAGGCTGAGATGTTGATCCATGTTATGGGACAAACACCAGTGCCCGTCGTGAAGACAACAAGCACTTGTTTCCTAAGAAGGTTTAAGGATCTGATACAATATAAAAACAACCAATCACTCATCAGTCCAGGATCATGTATCTGATTCTACCCTGTCTAATCGGGTTCTTCAGTGCCAGCAATGGACTAATGAAACATTCTCACATTAAGGAAGAAATGATAGAAAATAAGGCAGAAGAAATATTCGACAGCGTTGGCATCAAGTTGTGTCATGAAAGATGTACAACCAGAAGTTTATGCAGAAGCTTTGGCTACGATTCTGTTAACCTGATGTGTTATTTGTTGAGACTGCAGCTGGAGCAGACAGTGAAATGTGGAAGATTTCTCTTAATACCAAAACCAAACACAAATGTAAGTAGTTAAGGGATTCTGTAATGTGACTTGCATGACAGGGATCTGTCCGCAGAAGAATATTTCAACACGTTTTATAGCTAAAATGGATAGAATTATCATAAACCGCCCGCATGTTATCAAGAATCAGCGGGCCACTGTAACTTGATAATGCCCTCATATGGCTTGACGATGGGCCATTATCATGCCCGTTGTTAGGTGACGTCATAGGGTAGGCATAGGTGACGTCACGTTCAATATTGGCGTCATCTGGTTTGTTGTATGACGTTTCCATATTTGTAAAAGTGGGTCAGTGACATTTGTGTTGATTATAGTAAATGTTTCAAAACCGATATTGTTGTTTCTTTTAATTTGATACAAAATTCCATCCATTTTAGGGAGCAACTTTAGAATACAGTACCACAACTTCTCACGAGGACGGTCTCTGCCGTAGGTCACATGTCTCAAAGACAAGCAACCAGTTTTTGTGAGAATCCGTCGGACGCGAACTCGCGACCTTCGGATTGTTAACCGACTAAGCTACGTTCACACTGTTAAACAAAGTGCAAATTTACCTAGTCATGCCTACGACGTTACAGAACTAAACGAAAAGGGTCGAATAGGTGACGGACCCTTACGAAGGTCACGGGTAGGCATGGTGTCTCGTGACTTTAGTCAATCGACACTTACGAATGATCCCGATGCCATTTGGCACACTCGTTCCATTCCGGAATCTACAAGATACCGAGTGGCGAGGAATGATCCGATATGGCGCGAACTGAAAACGGCTCCAGGCGTCAGACGTCAGACGTCGAACTCGCGAGTAAGCATGAATGGCATGGTATTTAATAATTCGTCGGGTGGATTTTGTGACAAAAAAGGGTGGTAGGGAACACTGTAAGGATGATGTGGATAATAGTAAGGAACGAGGGGGGCATGTGCATGTCTAGTGACGACACAACGGTGAGTTCGCTTTTGAATCAGTACTGAAAAAATGTAGCCAGTGAAAGTGGCTTGTGTGAATGTTCCAGGACAGTTTCCAGTAGCCAAAGTATTCGACACAAAAACATTTCATTCTTTTTACTCGACGTTTTTGTGTGAAGAATATTAGGAGCCGCTATAGAATCTGTAATAGAAACTAAACGGGTAGATTTGCCCAACCCTCATGATCGTAAAGGGATGATTGATCGTAAAGGGGATCCAAGTGCTGAGGACAGAGTTCGGGGTAACCTACCCTAACACTAGCGATATTTGGATGTGTTCAGCGGGTTCAGCGTCAATATAATATCCCTAATAAACTACATTCTTCTTCATAATAATGAAAATTAATGAACCGAAAAAATAATATATGTATATTAGTTCCCATTTATAACCCTTTTAGCCACCTGAATTACGAGAAAAACGAAATAGAAAATATATAAAAAATAAAAGTGCTTTCGTAAACTAGCGCTTGCTATAAAATGCGCGGGCTACATTCAGTAAACAAATATTCAAAACTCTCCACAGCGCTTGGCGTATTCAATGACATTTCGTGTAGAGATGAAAGATCACTGGGAGGAGCTTATGCACACTCAATGGCCCCTGACGTCACAGGGCATTGTTTCGCCGATGTGACTGGCAACAAAATACTACAAATTACGTCATAGGGTATTGTCACGTGTTTGAAAAGTTTGTGGTACTGTATTCTAAAGGTAGGCCCATTTTAGCTATGATAACGGTACCGCTATTGTTCACGGCATTATCATTTGCAGAAGCCCTCGGTCTTTTCAACTGCCCTCCTTCGTCTGGCAGTTAATGGAAGACCTCAGACTTCTGCAAATGATAATGCCCTGAAAAATATCATTACCCTTATAATAACCAATTTGGAGTGATCCAGCAAGGCATTTATCTGTGTTCGATGATCCAACAAGATATTATATCTGTGTTTCATGATCCTGCAAGGTATTTATCTGTATTCGACGATCCTGCAAGGAATTCTATCTGTCTTCGATGATCCTGAAAGGTATATATCTGTGTTGGATGATCCTGCAAGGTATATCTATCTGTGTTCGATGATCCTGCAAGGTATTTATCTGTGTTCGATGATCCTGTAAGGTATTTATCTGTATTCCATGATCCTGCAAGGTATTTATCGGTATTCGGTGATCCAGCAAGGTATTTATCTGTGTTCGATGATCCAGCAAGGTATTTATCTGTTTTCGAGGATCCAGCAAGGCATTTATCGGTGTTCGGTGATCCTGCAAGGTATTATAAATGTGTTCCATGATCCTGCAAGGTATTTATCGGTTTTTGATGATCCAGCAAGGTATTTATCGGTTTTCGATGAGCCTGCAGGGTATTTATTGGTATTCGATGATCCTGCAAGGTATTATAAATGTGTTCGATGGCAATATCTGAAGTATCTGTCAACAAGTCATCCCCATTTTTAAGATGGTGGATGCTAGTTTTCGAACCTTTAATTCTTTTAATCATGTTCCATACTTTAGACAATGGAGATTGGCGTTTGTTTTGTTTAAATATGCGCCTGGCTTTAGCATTCATAATCTTGAATTTATTTAGATTATGCACCATTGGATGGCGTCGGAAATAATGCTCGGCTTTTTTCCTGGCCTTCCTAGCTTGTTTGCAAGCATGATTAAACCATGGTTTTCGTATGTGAGGAATACATTCATCAGCAATTTTTGTTAATTCATCAGAAAAACATTTGATAGGATCAGGAACACCAATAAAAAGATTAGGTTTAAGTTTGTTTGTACAGAGAGTTCCATAGAAGGCCCAGTTAGCTTTATTAAAGTTCCCTCTTGATGATGGAGGAACATCAGATGGGGTCACAGGCATTAAAATAGTAGGGAAATGGTCACTTCCACAGAGGTCATTGTGGACTGACCATTCAAATTCATTCAGTATTTCTGAATCTGTAATTGACAAATCCAGAGAAGAGTAAGTACCTGTTCCAGGATGTAGATAAGTGTCTGAACCGTCATTATATATGCACAAAACGTTATCAGAAATGAAATCTTCTATGGTCTTTCCTTTGTTACTTGTATGTGCACTGCCCCAAAGCGGATTATGTCCATTGAAATCGCCCATAATAATACACGGCTTCGGGAGCTGGTCATACAGGGCCTGAAGGTCAGTCTGCGTCATAGAAGACGATGGAGGGATGTAAACAGAGCATAGGGTAAGAACAATGTGCATAGTTATACGGACAGCGACAGCTTGAAGTGGGGTATCAAGAGTTACAGGGCTGTGAAAATACTCTGCCTCACCAAGACAGAAGAACCTCTAGTTGCTTTAGCACCCGGAGGTGAATAGAAATGATACGAATTATACTGTCTGATATCCATTAGATCAGTGGTTTTCAAGTAAGTCTCTTGCAAAAGCAAAAGGCAAAATGCTGATGGTTTATGATCTTGTATTAATAATTGCAAATCATTAAAATTATTTCTAAGTCCTCTGCACTTCCACTGGATGATATTTGGAGAGCTACTCATGGTGGCTCAACTGGTGATCTGGAACGTGAGGGAGGACCACTCCCAGGTATGGAGTTGGAAGGAGTGACCTCCATCTCCAGAGGTTCAAACGAATTGTGAACCTCAACAGGGTTAGGCGTATGAGAAGGCACCTCCAGGTGTTGGAGGGCCCTGGCTCTTTTCTTAATCTGTTTTTTTTTCCTTTATTGGTCAAGTGGGCATCGCTCTTGACTTGTTCCGTTTCTTTAACTGTTTCTTGGTCATAATGTTCGAATTCAGTCTGTGAAGCTGATGTTGAGACATGTGACGGTGCTCTAGTGATGGGAGCCACATCCTCAAGGGTGATCTGCCGTTCTGTCACCCAAGATAAAGTTGTTTGACAAGAAGTGGAAATTGTATGAACTTTCATGACAGGATTTGGCGAAGAGACTGTAGCAGAATAAGTTTTTGCAGCAGTAGTTTGGGATTGCGGTTGAACTAATCTTTTTGCGTCGTGATACGAGATATTTTGGGTGCATTTTATTTTCAGAATTTGGGACTCGTATATATATGATGTGCAGACTTTCGATGAAGCAACATGGTCACCATCGCAGTTTGATAGATTCAGTTGTGCAGTCGGAGCTCTCATGAGCTCCACCACAACGGACGCAGACAGAATTGCGGGTGCAGAATTTAGCACCATGGCCAAAATTTTGGCACTTGAAGCATCGGAGTGGGTTTGGCACGTATACCCCCACTCCGATGTTGAAATAGCCAGCTTTGAGAGAAGTCGGGAGTTTCTGCAGGTCAAAAGTGAACAAGTACGTGTTCGTTTTGATGATTTTTTCATTTTGTTTTTTGGTGAAACGCTTTACAGCGGTTACACTTTGTACCTTTAGTTCATCAACAATCTCTTCTTCGCTCATGTCAGAAGGACAACGAGCATAGTCTCTAACGATACCCTGACAGGAGTTCAGCGTCCTGTGCACAGAGACAACCTTGGTGTTAACGAACTGCTGTAGTCCCAGCAGGTTAACAGATTGTTGCCTCTGTAAACATTCCACCAGAATTGAACCACTTCGGAGTCGGGTCACATTTTTTACTACTCCGCAGGCACCTTCTATGCCCTTGGAGATAGCAAACAGGTTTAATTTCAATGGATTGCCATCGGCAGAGGCAATAACTATAAACCGAGGCCAAGAAACAGTATTTGGAGGATTAGCTTCATCGCCAGATGAAATACAGTCGACATGTCTACGTTTGTAGGTCTTTGCTGAACCAGAAGAATCGTGGTGAGACATGGTAGAAGAAGAGAATTCAACACCCTTGCTCACCAAACCCACCATCGAGTGACAACAAGAACGATGTTGCAGCGGAAGCCAGTCTGCAACATCAGGGCTACAAAGGTGTCATACTTAAAGAACAAGTGCCAGGCTGGTTCGGCCCATGACACATTTCTCAAGAACACAGAATTCAGACGTCTATATAACCAGATTGGCCCATGAGCCACCGCCTTCTAGCATAGGACTCTAGGCAAAATAGATATCATCAAAATAACAATTTCATTACTTAAGATCATTTTTGTGATTATAATGTTTTTGAAATTCAAATTTCAATGCACAGGGCATGGCGTGACCAGCCGATTGATAGAATCGGGCCCATTCTACCACCCGTCTAGGTGAAGTAAGGGTCGAAATGGTGTGTTGGGCAAAAGGAAAACTGTTCCAGGCTCCAGTGACCTCAACCACCAGAATCCCGTCCTCCTCCGACACAGGGGCGCAACCCACGTCAAACTGGTTGCCCAATTCGGTCGGCTTTTACGACCAGCAATGGGGTGCTGTAGAAACATTCTGCCCCGGTTCCACAAGGGGGAAGAGCTATTAGCGTTACCCAGCACTCACCACGAGGAGGTTGCTCTTCACGAGTGCCGTATCCTGCAAGGTATTTATCGGTATTCGATGATCATGCAAGGTATTTTTTCTTTTTCAATTATCCAGCAAGGTATTTATCGGTGTTCGATGATCCTGCAAGGTATTATCTGTGTTCGATGATCCTGCATGGTATTTATCTGTGTTCGATGATCCTGTAAGGTATTTATCTGTGTTCGATGATCCTGCATGGTATTTATCTGTGTTCGATGATCCTGTAAGGTTTTTATCGGTGTTCGATGATCCTGCAAGGTATTATAAATGTGATTGATGATCCTGCAAAGGTATTTATCCGTGTTCAATGATCATGCAAGGTATTTATCTGTGTTCGATGATCATGCAAGGTATTATCTGTGTTCGATGATCCTGCATGGTATTTATCTGTGTTCGATGATCCTGCATGGTATTTATCTGTGTTCGATGATCCTGTAAGGTTTTTTTCGGTGTTCGATGATCCTGCAAGGTATTATAAATGTGTTCGGTGATCCTGCAAAGGTATTTATCCGTGTTCGATGATCCAGGAAGGTATTTATCGGTTTTAGATGATCCTGAAAGGTATTATAAATATATTCGATAATCCTGAAAGGTATTTATCTGTGTTAGATGATCCTGCAAGGTATTTATCTGTGTTAGATGATCCTGCAAGGTATTTATCTGTGCTCGATTATCCTATAAGGTATCATAAATGTGTTCGATGATCCTGCAAGGTATTTATCTGTGTTAGTTAATCCTGCAAGGTATTTATCTGTGTTCGATGATCCTGCAAGGTATTTATCTGTGTTCGATGATCCTGCAGGGTATTTATCGGTGTTCGATGATCCTGTACGGTATTTATCTGTGTTCGATGATCCAGGAAGGTATTTATCTGTGTTAGATGATCCTGCAAGTTATTTATCTGTGTTCAATGATCTAGCAAAGTATTTATCTGTTTTCGATGATCCTGCAAATTATTTATCTGTATTCGATGATCCTGCAAGGTATTTGTCTGTGTTCAACGATCTAGGAAGTTATTTATCGGTGTTAGATAATCCTGCAAGTTATTTATCTGTATTCGATGATCAAGCAAGATATTTATCTGTGTTAGATGATCCTGCAAGGTATTTATCTGTGTTCAATGATCTAGCAAGGTATTTATCTGTGTTCAATGATTTATCAAGTTATTTATCTGTATTCGATGATCCAGCAAGATATTTTATCTGTGTTCGATGATCTAGAAAGGTATTTATCTAAGAGATGATCTAGCAAGTTATTTATCTGTGTTAAATGATGTAGCAAGGTATTTTATCTGTGTTTAATGATCTAGCAAGGTATTTATCTGTATTCAATGATCCAGCAAGGTATTTATCTGTGTTCAATGATCTAGCAAGGTATTTTATCTGTGTTCAATGATCTAGCAAATTATTTATCTGTGTTCAATGATGCAGCAAGTTATTAATCTGTATTCAATGATCTAGCAAGGTATTTTATCTGTGTTCGATGATCTAGCAAGGTATTTTATCTGTGTTCAATGATCTAGCAAGGTATTAATCGGTATTCAATGATCCAGCAAGGTATTTATCTGTGTTAAATGATCTAGCAAGGTATTTTATCTGTGTTCAATGATCTAGCAAGATATTTATAGGTATTCAATGATCCAGCAAGGCATTTATCTGTGTTCAATGATCTAGCAAGGTATTTTATCTGTGTTCAATGATCTAGCAAGTTATTTATCTGTTTTCGATGATCCTGCAAATTATTTATCTGTATTCGATGATCCTGGAAGGTATTTATCTGCATTCGATGATCCTGCAAGGTATTTGTCTGTGTTCAACGAATTAGGAAGTTATTTATCTGTGTTCAATGATCCAGCAAGGTATTATCTGTGTTCAATGATCTAGCAAGGTATTTATCTGTGTTCGATGATCCTGCAAGTTATTTATCTGTGTTCAATGATCCAGCAAGTTATTTATCTGTGTTCAATGATCCAGCAAGGTATTTATCTGTGTTCAATGATCCTGCAAGTTATTTATCTGTGTTCGCTGATCCTGCAAGGTATTTATCTGTGTTCAATGATCTAGCAAGGTATTTATCTGTGTTCAATGATCTAGCAAGGTATTTATCTGTGTTCGCTGATCTAGTCTGCCATGTGGCCTGGCTACAACGAGCCACCACACTGTGTGATTCGGATGCAATGGTCGTGCTCTCTTTCTGATCTTGGCAACATGAAGCAGAAAGTTCCATGATCTGAGTACAACGACCCAGCAGTGCAATGATTACCTTGAACATGTAGATGATGTTCGCTATACAGACATTGTTTTGTGTGTGCAGGATACCTAGTCGTTGTTGTCGAGGAACCTAACCAGGCATTATTGAAAAGAACAAATCCTTGAGTAAATGGTTTTGAGAGGTATTTCAGTATTTTAAGACACAGTGGGTCCCATGTAGAAATATACTTTTAAACATATTCAATTTTCTGGTTCCTTCCATTCCATAAGATGGCACATTAGTAAAGTGTCATAAATACTGCATTTAAGTATTTTGTCAACCACATGATTTAATATAAATATTCTGTATGGAATAAGAGGGGACATTTGTTCAAAATCCACCTTTTCTGATGATAAGTAGCATCCCAAAAACACCAACAAAAACAATCTACGCTGTGTACACGAGGTAGATAAAAACAGTTCCACAGTCAAATGTCAGTATACCCGATGGACTGATGGACACATCAATATTGTTTTCAAAGTTCGTTTGATTTAGTCATCCTGTATTATTGTGTTTGGTGAGTAATCTCTCAACGCCAAAGTAAAACCGAAGGATATCCTTTGAGGAAACAACTATGGGGTTTAACGTCGCGACCTAGATTATTGCATTTATATATAGCAACGTGCGTGTGTGTGTGTGTGTGTGTGTGTGTGTGTGTGTGTGTGTGTGTGTGTGTGTGTGCGCGCGCGTGCGTGTGTGTGTGTCTGTGTGTGTCTGTGTGTGTATCTGTGTCTGTCTGTTGTTTGTCGTTTAACGCTGCACTCAACAATACTCCAGCTTTTTCGACGGTGTTCTGTTAATAATGAGATCAGGTGAAATGGGGTTTTACGTCGCGACCAGGATTATTGCATTTATATATAGCGACGTGCGTGTGCGTGCGTGCTTGCGTAAGTGTATGAGTACGTGCGTGCGTGTGTGTTGCAAAGACAATCGTGTATTTGCTGGAGAAATAATGAGTTATCTACCAAGTCAAAACAAGACCAATTATTTGCCATTTTTTCCAAATCACTTCATTCTTTAGGCCCACACTGGAAGCTATTCCTCAACATGCCAAGGTGTTAGATGCCTCGAGACCCGTACAGGGAAAGTTGTCTGTGTGGAAGGTAACTGCCGAAATATTTTCTTCTAAACTGGTATCTAATCATTCATCCATCTTCTGTGCATGTCAGTCTTTTGGTCGGTTCCTGTTAACGTCTCCATTGAAACATGATGTTTAGTTAACCTACAGACTGTCATCTTTATCTACACCCATTGAACCCACAATGTGTAATTACATATTTTGTTTTAGTTTAAAATATTTTTAAAACATATCTTTCGCAATGGCATTTATGGAATGGGTGAGTGAATATGGTTTTACACCGCTTTTAGCAATAGCACAGCAGGAGGACGCCAGAAAATTGGATTCATACATGACCATGTGGGGAATCGAACCCGGGTCTTTGAACAAATTCATTGAGGAGATTGCCTTGTGATGAAGTCAACCATAAGGATCTCTATATATAAAACGGGGGCATGGGTGACCCAGTCGTCTAAGGCGCCGCGATTCGCTGTGCAGAGTTGCGTCCCTTGGAGAAACCTATGATTGTGGGTTCGAATTCCGATTCGCCCCGATTATGTTTCTAGGTTTGTCAGCACCATACCCGTGCTCGTGGGTTTCACCGAAGTGGTAACATCAGAGACCTGCATCACTTCGGGCTACCACGCCGCGATATAACTGGAATTCTGTTCAGAGCGGCGTAAAACCAAAATCACTCACTCACTCACTATATGCAACGCAACAGAATAACCTGACTCGATTATTCTGCGAAACAGATTCCATTGGGCGTAAAAGGCAAAAGAAAGGTCCGCCTTTCCTGGTTTGTTGCTTTTATGGCAATGAATTTTAAGCCTTCAGCGAGTGTCCTGTCCCGTGAAGATCCGGGGTAGAATATATCTTCAGCAACCCATGCTTGCCGTAAAAGGCGACTATGCTTGTCGTAAGAGGCGACTAACGGGATCGGGTGGTCAGGCCCGCTGACTTGGTTGAAGCATATCATCGATCCAAATTGCGTGGATCGATGCTCATGATATCAATCACTGGATTGTCTGGTCCAGACTCGATTATTTACAGACCGCCGTCACGTAGCTGGAATATTGCTGAGTGCGGCGTAAAACAACAAACAAACCAATCAACGAGTGTCCTAAAAGCGTGAGTGAATGAGAGCATAAAACAGCCGTCAGTTATGTTGGCATAAGGCCCATGCATGTATTTCTGTGATAATATAAACGCCTGTCAACTAATAACAGTATCACACCTAGAGTGAGTGTGTATGGTTTTACGCCGTTTTTAGCAATAGTCCTGCAATATCACGGCGGGGGTTACCAGAAGTGGGCTTCACATATTGCACCAATGTGGGGAATCGAACCCGGGCCTGTGAAGGGGACATGCCATCGCATGTGACTGTACACCCGCCTGATAGAAACCTGACATTTTATAGATTAGCTAAAGTGTTTTCCAAACTTGGCAGACATTAAATCTGTCGCTTGTGTTATTTTCAGACATTAAATGTAGCTAAATATATCCAACATGTGAAAGGCAGCAATGCATAATTATGTTGATCTATTATACGATGTTTTTATGTCTTAATGTCGTGATATAACTCCACTCACTCCATCACTCACTCCATCACTCACTCCATCACTCTCACTCCATCACTCACTCACTCCATCATTCACTCACTCCATCACCCCCTCACTCACTCACTCCATCACTCACTCCATCACTCACTCACTCACTCACTCCATCACTCACTCACTCCATCACTCCATCACTCACTCACTCACTCACTCACCCACTCACCCACCCACCGACCCACTCACTCACTCACTCACTCACTCACTCACCCACCCCGACCGACCGACCGACCGACCGACCGACTGACAATCTGACCGAACCACCCACTCACTCACTGTTGTCTTACAGCAAAAGAAAAGAAGCCGCACCTCCTGACACGGGCTAACAGCCAACTTATCAGTGCCAGTATGGATGGAGACCTGTCCCGAGTCCAATGCCTCTTGTCTGAGGGCCTGGCAAACATCAACGCTACAGGGCTACACAGGAGGACATCAGTGATGTTTGCAGCAGAGAAAGCACACAAAGATGTGTTCGACTTACTTGTGAGGGAAGGCGCTGATCTGCTCCCCGTGGATGATGACGACAACTCGATTTTCCTCCTGGCCTGTGAAGGAGGAAACATAGATATAGTGCAGTATCTCCTCACACAGAACGCGACGGACATCAACAGAGCAAACAAAGACAAGCAAACGTCAGCAATGAAAGCAGCATTCAAGGGACACGAGGACGTGTTTGGCCTACTTGTGGGAAAAGGGACTGAGCTGTCACTTACGGAATCATACCGTTCCCGCATATTACACCTAGCCTGCAAAGGAGGAAATATCGAGATAGTTAACTATCTCCTAACAGAGGCACTTGTGGACATAAACAGTACAGACGAAAACAACTACACACCAGCAATAATTGCAGCCACCGCTGGACATAGAAACGTCTTTGACTTACTCGTGGTGAAAGGAGCTGACCTGACCATATTGGGTGATGACGATAACAGTGTTCTTCACGCCGCCAGTCTAGGAGGCAATATCGAAATAGTAAGGAATGTTCTCACGCTGAATATTGTAAACATAAACGCCAGAGACATTGAAGGAATGACACCAGTGTTCTTGGCAGCATTAAATGGACATGATGAAGTGTTTGACCTGCTTGTTGAGAAAGAAGCTGATCTGTTAATTGTGACCGATGGCGGTAACACCATCCTTCATGCGGCTTGTAGAGGAGGAAATGTCCAAATAGTGAAGTACGTTCTCAATCAGAACATTGTGGATGTCAACAGTAAAGAATACAGTGGATTGACACCAGCAATGGAAGCAGCCGTTGGGGGACACAAGGCTGTGTTCTATTTACTTCTGGAGAAAAGACCTGATCTGTCCCAACCTGATGACCATGATAACAACCTTCTCCACATGGCATGCGAAGGGGGAAATGTGGAGTTAGTTAAGTATGTCCTCGCGCTGAACAGTGTGGATATTAACAGCAGAACAGAGGATGGGAGAACGCCAGCAATGATAGCAGCCTCCAAGGGACACAAAGACATGTTAAAGCTGCTAGTGAATAAAGGAGCTGATCTGTCCCTAGTTAATAGTCATGGTGAAGACGTTCTTCATATTTCCTTATTGTGTGAAGATATGGAGATGGTGAAATATATCCTAACACAGGACGTTGTCAACATCAACGGTGCAGACAAGGATGGAAGGACACCAGTGTCACTGGCAGCAGAAAATGGATGCATAGACATGTTTGATTTAGTGGTTAGTAAAGGAGCTGATCTTTCAAGTAGAGATGTTGCAGGTAACACCATTCTTCAGTCGGCCTGTTCAGGAGGAAATGTGGACATAGTGGAGTATGTCCTGGCACAGGACAACATGTTACAGGACATCAACAGAACAGGTTGGAACGACTGGACACCAGTGATGGTTGCAGCATTCCAGGGTTACAAAGAAGTGTTTGATTTACTTGTGAAGAAAGGTGCTGATCTGGCACAACTAGATAAAGATGGCAACACTATTCTTCATATGGCTTGTATGAAAAGTTGGAAGATAGTGAAATTCCTCCTTTCTCGCAACATTGTTGACATCAACAGTAGAGGAAGCAATGGTACGACGCCATTGATGGTGACAGCATGTTCTGGTAGTAAGGCTGTATTTGAGTTGCTCATGAGGAAAGGAGCTAACCCATCACTAGTAGATAAAGACGGCAACAACATACTTCATCTTGCATGTTCGGGAACCCATTTTGACATTGTGAAATACATCGTTTTCAATGCGATTGTAGATCTAACCCTCAGCAATAAGCTCGGATTCAATGCAGCAAAGGTAGCATTGGCAGCAGGCAATGAAGAAGCGTATAATTTTTTACTGTCTCAAACCTCTATTTAGAGGCTAAACTATTTGATAGTGAGAAGTAAAGAAGTAAACTTCATCTATCCCCAAGAGAATGTGGCTGTGAACCCGGAGAGCTCCCTTGGCTCCTCCATACAAACGAACGTGTATGTCTTGAAGCGACGACTGCCCAACACATAGATCTTTAAAAAAGCCCACACCCATCCTTTTGGAATATTAAATGGTCCCCGACGTGTTACGTGGCAAATGTTGTTAATAAGCAAGGTAAATAAAAGCTGTAAACAAGGTTGGTCGATTGCTCTGTGTTTCTAAGGCGCCGCAAGTCCATACATTCTAACTTAGGATCGTGGGTTCGAATCCAACATCCGCGCTGGTGTCTCCCCGTCATCCGTGACCGAGGTGGTAAACCTCAAAGATATGCATCACTTGGATCTTTCATCCACCATGAAGCTGACACGCCATGATGGTACTGAAATACTGTTCAAAGTGGCGTTACAATTCCTCTCACTCATTCACAATAGTGTCATCCTATACTATATTTCATATGACACACGCCCTGATTAGAAAGTGCAGTCATGTGTATCAGGTATCGGGTTTGCGGGGGATTTGAGAAAAGGGTTCCAACTGTTGTTCACGTTTCGTTTCCGCAGCATCATTCATAAATCCAGTATTTCTCCTTGAAACGTTTTATAATATATATACAGAGATTATTTAATATTTCTTTCCGGGGAAACACATTGAATTTAGGTTCAAATGAGGGTTGGGATCGTTTCGGGAGCATAATTTAGAAACTGTTTATCTTTATAAAATGAGTCTCATTAAACATGCTTTGGTCTTCACCACTAAACAACGAGTGCTTCAGCGTGAAGTTTCAAACGTATCTAATCTCAAGTGGGACTCCACCAAATTTCAAAACAAGTTATGTTTATCTCCGTTCTACCATAACGGCAAGAGCGCTTTGAAAACTGTGCTCTCTTGTAACGCGTAATAAAACACATAGGTACCGAGGTCCGCTATCTTAGAACAATTCGAAAAGGTGCCACAGTTTGTTATTAATGTACAAATATTGCAAAGATCAAGATTAAGATAACGTTTCAAAACACACAGTTTTTCAAAAAGAAGCTGGCAAATAAACCCTCCAAAGATACATGTTTTAATTTCTGTTGGTTTGAAATAATTCCCCAGCAGTAATACATATTACGAATGGCGGTCTCTCCACCACGAACCTCGACCTTGCTGAATTTTATCTGCAGTCGACGACTCGAGAGAGGTAATTTTTGTGACACAGTGGTAGGTGAGTGTTTTACTCCTTAATTGTGTATTTTCAAATAGGTTTCATCATGTTTGATAAGCTGTTATTCTGACATCGACCGTATACCATATTCTGATGGGTTATCAACAGCAATTGTGATATGCATCGATGCGAAAGCTGTCGATAGATGTGTTTTCATGAGCTTTTGTAAGAAGAGGTTTCATCTGAAGAGGGGGCACGGGTGGCCCAGTCGTCTAAGGCGCCGCGATTCGCTGTGTAGAGTTGCGTCCCTTGGGCATGCCAGAAACATATGATTGTGGGTTCAAATTCCGATTCGGCCCGATTATGTTTCTAGGTTTGTCAGCACCATACCCGTGCTCGTGGGTTTCACCGAAGTGGTAAACGTCACTTCGGGCTTTCCTCCCACATTAAGTTGACACGCCGTGATATAACTGGAATACTGTTAAAAGCGGCGTTAAACTCTCTCTCTCTCTCTTACACACACACACACACACACACACACACACACACACACACACACACACACACACACACTGACTCACTCGGGTCGGTCGGGTAGCCTAGTGGTTAAAGCGTTCGCTCGTCACGCCGAAGACCCGGGTTCGTTTCCCGACATGGGTACAATGTGTGAAGCCTATTTCTGGTGTCACCCGCGGTGATATTGCCGGTATATTGCTAAAAGAAGCGTAAAACCATACTCACTCACCCATGCATAAAATTTTCAGCAGTTTTTTGCCTTTTATTCCCTACTTGTTTACTGTGGAGGCTTAGGTCATTCAATGTATAATTACTATGGAGTTGGTTAGCCGTGTTCCAATTTAGTATTTAAGTATTCTTTTGATTTGTTATTCAATAATGGCTAATGATAGACTATGATACCACAGATTGACATTCTGAAATACTTGTACACGGTAAGGTGATATACCTATACTGTTTGTACAATGTATCATACTGTTTGTACATATTTGTTTTTAGCCACCTGTCACATGATATGATGACGTCATGTCTGCGACGCCATGTTGAGTGCAATAACCAAACAACGAAATATAACCTTTCAGCACGACCTTTCTGATGGGTGCAACACGAAGAATCTACTTTTTCTCATCTTCGCGAGGCAAGGGGGTCAGCTGACTGTAAAAGTCCAGTTTCCACCCATGCCGAACTAGGCTGGAATTTCTGGGTTTGATCGTAGCGCCATCGGTGGCTATTACGAGTTATGTCCCTTCTATGTCACTCTTATTGACCAATCAGATTCCACCCATATCACTTGCATTTTCTCCAAACAATATTGCGGCGCACAGTGATAGGTGATCAGCATCTTTATGTAATAAAACGGGACTTACTTCGCGAAAGAGATCAAATAACGTGAGCACCTTGATTAAAAACATGAACAGATTTGGAAATATCTGTTGACGCTAAGTTGACGGTACACATGTTATACAAATCCTGCAATCGACGGAAATCAACACGGCAGTTTACAAACCGGATGTCGGTTTCGTTACGCGATTTTGATTGGACTAGGCATAGTCCTGCCAAAATTTCACTCCATAATCCCAGCCAAGTTCGGCAAGGATTGAAACTGGACTTTTATAGTCAGTTAACTACCTTGCCACGGGAAGATGACTTTTTCTAAGCACGATCAAAACGGGTCATGACCTATATATAGGTCATGTTTACCCCCATGTTTGTCCGTATGTCTAGGTTATGAGTGTCCTAGTGACTGGCATCAGATATCCAAGATAACGGCATGGAGGGAGGACCCATCCTGCTGTCTCTCCTACTGACCGTCTCATGTAAGTACGTTTCTGCTCGCATGTACAGTGTTGTAACTTTGAAAGTACAGTAAACTACGGTTATAACGAACTCAAATGAACTACTAGTTTTAGTTCGTTATAACCGTAGTTCGTTATAAGCATATATACAGCATAACTACAGCAAATAGTCGGGACTAAAACGTAAGTTCGTTATATCCGTCAGTTCGTTATAAGCGTGTTCGTTATTACCGTAGTTTACTGTATACGAAAGTAGCGACCTCCATCTTGGAAAATATAGGTCCCCAGGCTCTTGACTGTCGCGGGAGCCGACTAATAAAGAGTAGGGCGCCGTTGTACAAAGAGATCTCAGCGCTAAGGTGACCGTAACTCCCATACTTTAACATAGACTTTCGACAGTTGTAGTGCTACGATCGCTTTGTGGAGGTCGTGGTAAATTGGTAATCACACTTTTGACTGACGGTGTGTCATCGTTCGGCGACAGCGTGCTGAAGCTGTCAACCCCAGGATTTCATGGTCCAGGCTCGATTTGTTTAGCGGCGTGGAATATTGATGGTACAAACCCATGCACCCATATTTTGCTGTCTTACCCTAACCCTGTCCGTTCTCGTAGTTTGCCGCAGAGTCTGTTGTATGAGTGTAGTGATATATGAGAGAGCCCTTTCATTATTCTTTTTTTTTTTCTTTTTTTTTTTTTTATTGTTCCTGGTAAAAGTACATCATGTTTGGATAAGAGTCCAAATACATGACCAGGTTTTTTTTAAGAAAGTACATATCATTCGCACACATCCATACACACATTCACACTCACTAGAAGCTTTAGTACTTATGAAGACAGAATGCAGGATATATATTTAGTAAAGTTTTGGAATAGCAAATGTTTATATTTTCAAAAGGTTTTCATAAGGAGCCCATTTCGTATAGAATTCAGTCTGTTTGGCTTTATTAAAGTGTCTATATTTTTCTAGTTGGTAATAATATTTAACCTCATTTTGGAAATGTGTAATGGTTGGTTGGTTATTTTTCATTTTGCATCTAAACTAGTGTCCAAAAGAAACGATACCAACTTATTTTCAAAATTGTTTTTTACTAAGTGAATTGTCAAGTATGAAACATGCCAATTCGTATTGCACATCCCAAACACAGCATAATCGATAAAGAATACCGGGAACACGTGATCACTTCCGGGGAAAAAACGTAAATTTCGTGAAAGTGACATTTCCCTCTCTAGCATGTTCTGCACGTGCAGAAAAACTGTATAAAACGGCTGATCAGACACGTTGATATCACAGCAACAAAAAGAACACAAGATATGCCACGTTTGACAGCCATCGAGAGAGAGAGAGAGCCGTTGGAATGGTCCAACAAGGAGCGTCACACGTCGACGTCGCCAGAAGGTTGGGCTGCGCACGCATCACTATCACCAGGTTGATGCAGCGGTTACGTCAGACAGGTCAGACGTCAGACAGGCCCAGGAGTGGAAGACCACGAGTAACCACGCCCCGTGAAGATCGTTACATCCGGGTATTACACCTGAGGAACCGCACCGTAACAGCGACGTCCACGGCGGCTACAGCACTGGGACACAGGATCAGTCGACAGACCGTCTACAGGAGACTACGGCAGTATGGTATCCGGCCACGTCATCCCTACCGCGGACCGCTCCTGACGCCTCGACACCGGAACAACAGACTGATCTGGGCCAGGCGAGTTCGACGTTGGCAACGGCGAGACTGGGCACGTGTTATGTTCTCTGATGAGAGCAGATTTCTCATCTTCAGAAACGATGGACGGCAGCTTGTATACCGACGATTTGGTGAACGTTTGGCGCCTAACTGTATCCAACAGGTCCGGCCGTTTGGAGGTGGAGGGTTAATGGTTTGGGGTGGCATATGTGGTGACGTCAAAACGATGCTTGTCGTAATTCGTGGAAACCTGAATGCACAGCGTTATCTTGATGACATCCTACGGCCTGTTGTGGTGCCCTTTAT